TTTTTTTTTATATTCTTGAAATGTCAATAAACATCATATAAAAAAACGGATTATAAAAATGTTTTTCATTTTTTTTTTTATGTTAGTTTGAAAAATGCCTAAAATTTAGGCTTCTAGACCAGAATACCCCCTTAATTTATTTTCAGTGTGGTAAATAATTACAGTATTAATACTTATTTTTCAACATTATGTTATAAAAAAATCATTTTTTACGCCTTTTTGGCATATTAGTAATTCAAAAATTTTTTTTATTATTGATCCTTAAATTTTAAACAATTTTGAGATCATTAAGATCAAAATTTTAGCTTTTTCGAAATGAATTGTTTAAATTTTGATTTTACGGCGAAAATATTGGTCATATAAAAAAATTTTTTAAATAAAAGCTGTTCAAAAGTTAATTTTATAAAAAAAAATATCGCTTATAATTTTTTCTTTATTTTATTTTCTTTCAGTCTTAAAAAATACATAAGAGACATTTTTTTTAGAAAATTAAATTTCCTTCAATTTTTGTTTAAAAAATTTAATACCATTAATTATTAATTATTAATATTTTTAACTTTTTTTTTTAGGAAAGCTGGGTATCCAGAGATTTAAGTACGTCAATAACAGAAAAGTAGTCAGGATTAATTATATAGAACTACAAGTTGACGATCATGCGATAAAAAATATTCTTATTGATACTATTGATGACAAACCTTACATTTTTGTTGAGTCAGATTATAATATTCGCCGATTATTAATCCCTGGATATTAAATTGTAGCATTAATTACTATAAAATATTTTTAAAATTTATATCATTTTTATATAATGAAATAAAATTAAAATATTTTTAAAAATATCTTTTAAAAAAATTTTTTATATATTCTAGAATAAGTAAAAAAATTCTAGCAATTTAGTACGTGACTTTTGAATAAATAAATAAATTAATAAATTCATCAAAGCTAAAAATGTCAATCTAGAATTTACTACAATTGTCTTCACGTATCGATAATTATTTTTTAATATAAGATGACTAACAGCGAAATTGTTTCAGTTTGAAGCTATTAATTCAAGAATCAACACGCGCAAGTGTCAGTATTTAAACAATGAAAAGGTCTCATGATCCAGATGCAGCATCGACGTCCAAGCAAAGGAAGGAATGTGATATTGAAAAAATTCTTTCTGATGTATGTATTCCAGAGCATGTTTGGAAAATAATATTTTCTCTTATGAAAGATCAGAATAAATTACTCAAATTACGCTCTACGAATAAATTCTTCGACTCATTGATAACTTCGAAGATTTACTCGGAAAAATTGTGGGAAAAATTGTCATATCAGCATAAAATAATCCCATGGCACAGGCAAATAGCTGCATCAGTTCGGTTGCTTCATTTCCCTGAGACAGATGAAACTTTAGCCAATCACGAGAGGTGGAGGAAAATTTACTTTGGATACAGGAAGTGGGTTCAAACGCCAAATATTAGAAGAAGCCCGGAATTATTGTCACTGATTCGAACCGAGTCGATGATTAAAAAATTTACTTGTGTAGCTGCATGGGGTCGGATTTTTTTTGCTAAAAAATATAATATTTTTAGATTATTTTTTGCTTATTAATTATTTGGTTTTTTAGGAGGTTTCACTGCTTCGGCGATCAATAAAGGAATGATTTCTGTTTATTTTAATTTACAGTATTTGACGGAATTAAGTTTACCAACGTTATCAAAATATTTAAAAGTTGAAAAATTGGAATTTTGGAAGCAAAAAAATGCATCTGTTATTATTTACGGAAGACTAGAAAGTGGACAAGTTCTTTTTTGGAATGTGTGGGATGGAGAGATTATTAACTCTAATGCTCCATTTTATGAGAATATTCGATGGTAAATATTATGGCAGTGTAAATTTTGTGGTAAAAAATCTCCGATAGAATATCCTAATGACAGAATATCTCATGATATAATATCCAGATCATCATCATCATCTTTACATTATCATAATTGTCATTATTATCTCAACATTACTATTATTGTCATTGTCGTCACTATTATTATCATCATCTTCATCTTTACATTACCATAATTGTCATCATAATATTCGGTAACGGTCTCTTATTTATCAAGACAAAATTTCTTAGGCCATAATTTCTCAGTAATAAATTATCAGTTAAAAATTTATCAACGTCATAATTAATTATCGCTAAAATTAATGCTACAATAATTAATCCGATAAAAATTTCTCATGCAATAATTAACAGCGGGGTCCGGGGTGAGGTCCCGGTGGGAGTTGGGGAGCGAAGCTAAAATTAATCCTACAATAATTAATCTTCACTATTATCATAACCACCAATACCATCATCATCATCATCATCGTAATCTTCACTATTATCATCATCACCAATACCATCATCATCATAATCATCTTAAAATTACCATAATTCTCATTATTATCTTCACATTACCATTATTGTCATTGTCATCATCATCATCATTATCATCATCATCATCTTAACATTACCATAATTTTTATTTTTGTCATTATTATTATCATGATCATTTTCATCTTTACATTACCATAATTGTTATTATCATTTCCAGATTACCATTTTATTATTGTCATCATCATCATCTTCATCATCATCATCGTCATCATCATTTTCACTATTATTATCATCATCATAACACTACCATAATTCTCATTTTCGTCATTATTATTATCATCATCTTCATCTTTACATTACCATAATTGTCATTATCATCTCCACATTACCATTTTATTATTGTCATCATCATCATCGTCATCATCATCTTTACTATTATTATCATCATCATAACACTACCATAATTCTCATTTTCGTCATTATTATTATCATCATCACAATCAACATCATCTTCACTATTATCATCATCATCATCATCATCATCTGAATATTGCCATAATTCTCATTTTCGTTATTATTATTATCATCGTCTTCATCTTTACATTACCATAATTGTCATTATCATCATCTTCATCTTCATCTTCACATTACCGTAATTATCATTATCATATAAACATTACTATTGTTGTCATTGTCATCATCATCATCATCATCATCATCTTCACTATTATTATCATCATCATCATCTCATCTTAAAATTACCATAATTCTCATTATTATCTTCATATTACCATTATCGTTATTGTCATCATCATCATCTTCACTATTATCATCATTACCTTCACTATTATCATCATCACCATTTCCACTATCATCATCTTAACATTACCATAATTGCCATTATCATCTTCACATTACAAAAATAAAAATAACAATCCCCAAAAAATTCAAATTTGTTATTTTTTGTTTAACCAAAGACAAAAATAACTCTTATGCGTGTCGATAGTATTATCGAAAATTAGTTTTTCCCACTCGCCATCTGTTTGCAAAAATTAGCACTATTTAAATTTCTTCTTATATATTTCATAATATAATTATTATACAAATTAATAATACTATTCAATTTTTTTCCAGCATGGATCATAGTGATCTAATTAGTATAAATAATAACCTATCAAAGCTAATAGATTATTACTATATCGAAGAAACCGAAGAAATCATTGGAGATCATTACCGAATTCTCGGACTATCACAACTACGTACAAATTTAGAAGAATATAAAATTCTTGATTTCTTCAGCAATCCAGAATATGTAAGTACAAATTTTGAAATAAATTTTTGTTGATTTAAAATTGACTGAAAATTTTCAGGTTGTAGTTGCGTATAAAAGCGAAAGTAAATTATTAATAGTAAAAATAAAGATTATTATGGAACAAGATTATAAATTATACCAATTTCATGATAGTTGGACAATTGAATTGGACGGAAGTTTTACAGAAAGTTTGATATGTCATATTCCAATTTGCGACATTGTTCTTCTAGCTGATGGTAATTGTGATTAAGATTATGTTCTTCAATATTACAGCTTGTAATTATTGATAAATTTTTTTTAGGTCAACAATTATTTATGCTGACTCCCGAAAGATATTTTGATGAGGTTAGGTACCATGTAAGCACTTTGAAATTCCAAAAAGAGATTACCAGCTTGAAGATGTTCTGCAATTGTATAATTATTGGTTATGTTGACGGTAAAATATTCTTCAACCGTTTATTTTATGGCAAATAACTTTTTTTTAAGAAGAATAGTTAGAATCTGATGAAAATTTTTATATTCTTCGCGCAGGAACAATAAAAACTATTTACATTGATGATTACCAGACTTATGAAAAACATGGTCACGGTGCAGATACTACTGAAGTCGAATACACACTTGATGTTGGAAATAACGCTGTAATGGATATTGATATCAGTACAAAGAAGAATTATAAACTCTACATTGTTGCTGTCACCAAATCAACAACGTATCAGCTGACATTTGAATGATCCATTTAAAAAAATTATTAATACATAATTCAAGATAAGCTTAATAAAAAATATTTATAAATATAGTTTTTAATTATTTATTTTTTTAATGTAACCTCAAATTATAAGCTCCTTTTTAGAATTTTCTAAAGATTTTTATAAAAACAAAATTTTTTTAAATATAGATATATTTTTTTTAATTATGTTTAAAAAATATCAACATATATTATCTATTTAGTTCCAATTCTAACCTAGCTTTTAGTAACTTTTCAAAATTTAAATTTAACATAAATTATTTAGATTTTCTGTCTTGAATTATTAAAAATTAAATATTTTCATTTTTTTATCTAATTGTTGAATTAATAAAAACTTAATTATAATATCTATAAATTCATAAAAAACAATATTCATAATTAAATTGAGGTTATGTTAGAATTGAAGTTAACAAAAAAAAATGGAACTTGATATTTTGTTGGTTAGGATTAAAGCGCGCGCAATTTAAATTTCTAGTTATACTAGATTTTAAATTAAAAAAAATTTTTTAACAGTAGTATTATTAAATATTGACTTATTGTAAAAAATGTTTAAATTTATTTTTTGATTACCTATGACGTAAATGCAACCATGATAAGCAATACAAGATAATTCCACTCCTTCAAGATTTCATTGGAGCAATCATGGTCCATTGATTAGTATCTGGGTCATAATATTCTGCAGAATTAATGTAGTCTTCGCCGTTGAACCCGCCGGTGATCCAAATTTTATTTAAGCAATTAATATTTTTAAAAAAATTTTATAAACTTTGAATTTTAAATAATTAAAAAGTGCAAAATATTAAATATTAATTTTTCTTCAATTTTAATAAATTACTGGATTAATTTAGAATATTTAAACATTTTATAAAATTATATTACTATTTAATGCAGTAGCGCTAGCATCTGATCGCCGAACATTCATAGGAGCGATTAATGACCACTGATTATCTTTATAATTGTATCGTTCTGCTGTTTTGAACCTTTCAAGACCATCATACCCGCCTATGGTATAAATAATGTCATTTAGCACAGCGACACTGGAGTAGCATCTGCAAAAATATCAAAAAATTAATAACATAATCTCTAATAGCTATAATAAAAAAAAAAAAAGAAATCTTACCTTCGTGAATTCATCGGTGCTATTTCTCGCCAAATTTTGGTCACTGCATTAAAGCACCTGCAGCTGTTGAGATACTCATCGCCGTTGAATCCTCCGACAACGTACATATTAAAGCCAATAACTACAGCTCCATGGTAAGCTCTTCCACCAGTTAGGTCATTCTCCAGCACCTGAAAAAGAAAAGAAGAAAATTAATTATAATTGCATATCTTGGATTAGTAGAAAAATTTCGTGTTTTTTTTTAATTTTATTTTTTTTAATAGTTTAGTAAAAGATTGTTAAGAAAAAGTTAAAAAAAATATTTTAATAATTTGTTCAGGTAATTTTTAAATTAAGAATTATTTTTTTATAATTTAAATTTGAGCGGCGAGTGACGTAGTGTCATATCCGGTGCGCACTGCCATCTTACAGAGAGTTTAAGAAGTAAATTAATATTTGTATTATTTAAAATTAAAATAAACAACTATTTTTAGAATTTAAGTTATCAGTCTTAACATTAATAAGCATTTTCATTTTTATTCAATTGCAATAATTAAATTTTAAAGACAAATGAGATTGTTAATTAAGTTCAGTCATTGTTAAAAATGTCTTTTTAGATCCTACTCGATCAATCTTAATTGCTACTGTTGACTCACAAATCTCTGATATTTACTCATGTGATTAATAGCGACAAATGCAGTTATAAATTGTTAGTTGAAGTATCAAGATGCATCCCAGTACACTGAAGCGAAGAAGAACCGGGTCCTCTGAAGAAGAAGATGACTCCGTTCCTCCAATCGTCGACCTATTTTTACCCGAACATGTTTGGAAGCTAATTCTACAAAACATAAAGAGCTCGAGTAAATTGTTGCAGCTCCGTAAGACGACTAAACTCTTCTGTTCGTTGATAAATGATCAATTGAATTCTAAAAGATATTGGGAAAAACTTTGTTACGATCGGAGGATAATCCCGTGGCACGCAACTTTGAAGAATACATTCCTTGATTATTTAGAGGAAAATGATTCACTTGATGAGTTTAATGCCGATCAAAATAACTGGAAGATCATGTATCTTTCCTACGAAAAATGGGAGAATATTATTAAATCAAAAGGATCGCATAAAGTTATTAAGATAATTAATTCTCCGAAGAATTTAAAATACACTTTTATCACCAGCGTGGGTAAGTTATAATTATTCAGGAAATATATTATTTTTAAATATGAATTGATAAAAAAAAAAAAAAATTTGAGCCATAAAAAGTTTAATTAAAACAAGAATAATTTCTTGGCTAAAGGAAATAATTTGTTAAAAATTTTAAACAATTTTATTTCTTAGCTGAAAAAATCGAAGTTTTGCTCACACTAATTTTTTTTTTCATTAGAAAACTTTTTTTCAGTAATAAAATTACTGTAAGAAAAATTTTTATTTCTTCATGAAGAAAACATTTAAAAAATTGACAAATTATTACAATAATGCTCATTTTTTTTAAGAACTTTTCGACAAATTTTATTAATTTTTTTTACTCATGAATTTGTTCACAATATATATTTGGACTTCAATTTGTTATTCAATGATTTATTTTATTTTTAATTTTATTATTGAAAAAAAGTTTTCTAGATTTGGGAAAAAAAATTTTGGATTTAAATTCCTAAGTTGTCTGTCTAAAATTATTTTTTTCCAAATCAAAAAAACTTTTTTTCAACAAGAAACTTACTGTGAGAAAAATTAATATTTCTTCAGTCAAGAAATAAAATTGTATAAAATTAGCAACAAATTAATTTCTTCTCACAACAATGCCATTTTTTTTTTTAATAATTTTTTTCTCAGTGCAGAATTGGAAAATAATAAACTAGAATAAAAAATAATATTTTTTTGATAATTAAAAATTTTTTTTATCATTTTTATGGTAAATAACTATTAATTATTATTATTTATTCGTTCCAGCGGGATGTATCGGCATGATTTTTAACAAAAGAATTATTAAAGTAGCTCTTCCAATCGAAAACAGGCTAAAAGTTATTAACTTTAACTTACCGGAGAGTCGACGAGGTTATTGTGTTCAAGAAATAGGCTTCTGGAATGTTGAAGAAACGATTATTGTCTATGCTAAATTGGAAGATAGATCTATATGTTTCTGGAAAGCAGGAAGTTCTAGACATATATTATATGACGAAGAATCATTAGGAAATATTTTCTGGTAATTAAAATTATTATTAATCATTGATAGATAAATTTTGTTGAAATTCTAGAAAATTTTTCGACAAAATACGAAATGCAAAATGATAAATTTTTTTATAGCGCTGACAATGATATTTTGATGAATGTGAATGACAATATAACACGGCTGACAAAATATGATTATGATGATCAATACGGTTCGATTGTTCAGCAATTAGTGGACATTATCGGACAACCAAATGATGTAAATTTGGAAGAATTTCAGATAATTGGACTGTTTGCTAACGCTAATAGTGTAAGTAAATCTGGTTAAATATAAAGGAGTTAAATAAGGCTCTGAATACTAGCCATTACTTATACTAAATATTGACCGTCTATGTTCTAAATACTGACCAGTAGTATTTTTTATAAAAAATTTAATTGAATTTTTTATTGATATCTTAAAAAAAATATTTTACATATTTTATTTATAGAATTAAAGATAATTATTAATTAGGGTAAATGCACCAATTATTGACCGATTAAGGTTTTCTTTTTCTGTACTAAGCTATAAAAAATCTATAAACCTACTAAAAACAATTTCTAATGGATTTTATTAAAGTTAAATACTTAATTAATAATAATTAATAACTATTTATAATAAAAATTAACAAAATTATATTAATTTTATTATTTGAATCTTGAAATACTAAAATCACCAATTATTGACCGAAGAAACCCAATAAATGACCGACCGTTCTCCAATTAATTCACCGCTCAAATAATTATAAGTAATTTTGTAAACTACATGTATGTAGTTAAATTTATGCAGTACTTTTGAAGTATTAACGACATCTTTAACAAAACTAAACATACAATATAATTTTAAATCGTACTTTTTTATAAAATAATATAAATAATAGCAATAATTAACATAAAGTCACATTTTTTTAGGTCACAAATAATCACAAATTCATTTTGATCACGATAATTCTTCTGATTGACTTGAAATTTTTTTATTCTTCTCCTTCTTTTTTTTCAATTAAAGCTTTTTTACTAGCTTGTAACTCTTTTTTATTTTTTTAATTGCTTAGCAATTTTTTCTTCTAATAATTCGTTCTTTGATATAACCGTTCACTAAAAAAATTACAACAAAATAAAATTTAATAATCAATAAAGATTTTAAGTATTATTTTAATTATAAATATACATTTTATAATGATTATTTTTATATTTACAAAATATTTAATGACTAAAGTACTTTAAACACTTGACAGATTTAATTTTGAGATTATTAAAAAGTTAGTATTATAAATATACGGTCATTAATTGGATTGTGATAAAATCAGAGGGTCTAATAAATGACCGAATGAATTTTTTACTGGGTAAAGGACTTCTGACGGATCCAATAGTTGACCGGTCTTAAAATAATATTAAAACTTATAATTTAACTTTATTTTTTCAAAAAAGTTGGAATCTGATCTTTAATTAACATAATAAAAATAAAATATTTTATATTATGCCGATAAATATCACTAAATTAATTATGAAATGCACTCACTCTCCAATTGTACGCTAATTATTTTTGACCGCTTTATGGCTGGTTGCGTTGTAAACAAACTCAGAATATTTTTTTAAAGCTATAATCACTGCGCAATTAATTGCGTAATTTTTTATTATCATTATTCTTCAAATTTATTTTTTAAAAAATTTTTCACTGATTCTAAAGGAAAAATTCTGATTATAAATTTTTTGCTAATATTAAAAGTTATAATTATAATAGAGTAAAGGCTCTAAATATTGACCAGTTTAGATAAAATGAATATAAATACATTATTTGTAAATTTATTGAACAAATTTATCAGCTGAAACGAGTGTTTTCTTTTTTTTATAGTTTTAAGTTACAAACTATGATACTTTTGTTTATAAAATACATAATAATAAACATTGAATTGTAATAATTAACATTACAGCCGATTGTTCCGAATATTGAACATTACTTACTAAATATTGACCTTGTATGTTCCAAAAACTGACCAGTAGTATTATGCTTACTAGACTTGTAAATAATTTTTATTTAAAATCTATAATAATTTGGACATTAGCTAATCTATTCACTGACATGTTAATAATTGAAGTATTGTTGTTAGTTGTTCTGTATTCTCATACAATATTATCTTCAGTACTCATATTTAAATCAATCTTTCAAGCTATACTAATATTAGGTACATTAGATAATTTACAACACCAATTGTTGACCAGAGTATTATTTAAATTATTAACATGCTTTTTCTAACAAAAATAATTGATAATTATAATCTTGGATATTAAATCGTTTTGACAAATACTTATTTATTGATTATGAAATATTTAATTTTATATAAATTGATCATATATGTAGCAAACACGGCGAGGTTTTTAATGACTAGTTTTTCCAAATATTTCTGATATTTGTATCCAAACTTATTTTTTTTACTGGATATATTTATGTGGATGCTTAAATTTTTGTTTAAAGTATAATTAAAAATTGATAATTACCTACTGAATATAAAATTAAATTACTAGATTTTTTTAACTGTAATTTTCTCCGGTTATCGATTATTTTTCAGATCACAGTAGCATGCAGAAAAGAAAAAACGATCCTAAAATTGAAGATAAAAATCCCCGAACGCAGATCATTGCCATACATAATTTATGAAAGTACACCATTTGACCTGGAAATATCTGATTATGTGAGGAGACCTTATATATGTCACATTCCGATTAGTGATGTCTTGTTAATAGCCGACGGTAATATCCATGTTTTTATATTCGACATTGTTTATCTTAACTCATTAATTCACAATAATTACTAATTAACAGCCAAAAACTTGTGGATGCTCTACCGAACTGAAGTCTTCAACCAAGTTAAATGGAATTTGACTCAGGGTAGTTGCAAAAGGACCATAACTTCCTTGACAATGTTCTGCAATACTGTAATTATCGGGTTCGATAATGGTAAGGCATAATTATTATAAAATTAATGGCTTATTATAATTAAAATAATCAAATCATTCAATTAAATTAATGTTATTTTAATATTCACTTAATTTAGGGTTCTTTTTCTTCTATTACCTGTAATTTTTTTTCATGCTCTAATTTATCAGTTAAAAATATATCCAGCAGAAAAATAAATTTTTGCAAAAATTTCTAATGAAACTCAAATTAATTTTATCAGTTATAAATTTTATATCGCGTTACTAAAACCAAAAAAGCGTACAAAAAAATTTTTTTTTCTTCAATCAACTAGGGAATGTATAAGAGTTAAAATCTGGTTGAAAAACGCAAAAAAATTTTTTTTTCGACTTACGTCCTTTTGACTTGAGAAAAAAAATTTTTAAAACCAAAAGAGCGTAGGGTAAATGCACCAGTTGTTGACCGGTCACCAATTAGTTGACCGATGTATAAAAAAAGTTAATTAATTAATATTTTACAAGGGTTTTTTTTTTCTTAAAGTATTAAAATAAAAAAAAAAAGAAGGCATTTAATCATGATAATAAAAAATTACGCAATTAATTGCGCAGTGATTATAGCTTTAAAAAAATATTCTGAGTTTGTTTACAACGCAACTAGCCATAAAGCGGTCAAAAATAACTAGCGTACAATTGGAGAGTGAGTGCATTTCATCATTAATTTAGTGATATTTATCGGCATAATATAAAATATTTTACTTTTATTATGTTAATTAAAGATCAGATTCCAACTTTTTTGAAAAAATAAAGTTAAATTATAAGTTTCAATATTATTTTAAGACCGGTCAACTATTGGATCCATCATAAGCCTTTTGCCCAGTAAAAAATTGATTCGGTCATTTATTAGACCCTCTGATTTTATCACAATCCAATTAATGACCGTATATTTATAATACTAACTTTGTTCGGTGAACAGGCCCACTCAGTGAGCAATACGTCACTGTGGGCTCCCCAAATTTACAACACGCACCTGACAAGCCATCGTTCCCGCTATTTCTCACCCGCTTGCACAAACCGCTTGACTGATCACGCCACATGTATCGAATTTTACCATTGGCTATCGATGTCGACATCAATAGAACGAATTTATTGATTGGCTATCGCTCTCGCTAGACATGCGCAGTAGCCTTCTTCTCCAAGACGAGAAAGAAGACGAATTATTATTATTATCTTTCGCATCCATCTTTCGTACGAACAAGTCGCTTTTTCGCATATATAATTTTCGCCTTGCTAATTAACCGCTGTTCGCTAATTCTTATAGTTTAGTTCGCTTTAATTGATTGCATTTAATTTAATTAGTTTGTTTCAGATTAATTAGAATTAATTGTGCAGTAATTACCGCTTTTTACAGTGCCGGCAGTTTACTCAACCACGTGCTAAACGGCTTCGCTTTTGCTAACCACGCTGTGTATAACATATCCGCTTTTATTTAACCAATCCGATATTAAACAAGTTAAATATTGATTGTATTTATAGTTAAATAAACTCTAGTGTTATTTTTAATAATAATTTTTGTATTTTAATTGAGATATTCAGATCTAAACCTGATCCTCAGTTTTTCCGCTATTTCAGCATTTTACATATATAAACCATATAAATTAAAAAATAAACATTAGACAATGTACTTAGTAATGATAATCGTTATCATAACAATATTAATTCAGATTTTTGATTATTTATCGTTATTTTTCCCAAACATTTGTGTCAATCATTTCGTTTGTTGGCTCAAAATTAATAATTTCGCTATCCTTAGATAAATAATTTTTAGTTACTAATACAGATTTTAAGGAGTTTTTCCGCTCTTTCAGCATTTTACAAACTTCTTAACTTCAAAATTAAATCTGTCAAGTGTTTAAAGTACTTTAGTCATTCAATATTTTGTAAATATAAAAATAATCATTATAAAGAATATATTTACAATTAAAATAATACTTAAAATTTTTTTTGATTATTAAATTTTATTTTGTTGTAATTTTTTTAGTGAACGGTTATATCAAAGAACAAATTATTAGAAGAAAAAATTGCTAAGCAATTAAAAAAATAAAAAAAAAGTTACAAGCTAGTAAAAAAGCTTTAATTGAAAAAAAGAAGGAGAAGAATAAAAAAATTTCAAGTGAATCAGAAAAATTATCGTCATCAAAATGAATTTGTGATTATTTGTGACCTAAAGAAATGTGACTTTATATTATATATTTACTGCATAAATTTAATTACATACATGTAGTTTACAAAATTACTTATAATTATTTGAGCGGTGAATTAATTGGAGAACGGTCGGTCATTTATTAGGTTTCTTCGGTCAATAATTGGTGATTTTAGTATTTCAAGATTTAAATAACAAAATTAATATTTAACTTTAATAAAATCCATTAGAAATTGTTTTTAGTAGGTTAATAGATTTTTTATAGCTTAGTACAGAAAAAGAAAACCTTAATCGGTCAATAATTGGTGCATTTACCCTAGGGAAAAAAATTTTTTCAAAAAATAGTCAAAGTAGTTTCTAAAGACCTTAAACAGTAGAGATCTAATGAAAAAATGATTTTCGGAAGTGAGACTAAAAACACTAACACACCCCCATTTCTTTAAGTTTTCAATTTTCATTTCTAATGAAAAAATGATTTTTGAAAATTGAACTAAAAATAATATCACAGCTGAATTTTTTGAAATTTTCAATTTATGTTACGATAACTTAAAAATTTTATTTTAATTTTTTTCAGTGAATTTTCACAAAATACAAAAAATTGAAAATAGAGGAAAGTACATTTATTACTTATTAACTGTTAATAAATATTTGTTAACTGCTAACAAATATTTATTAACATATAATAACTCGTATTTAATAAATAATTTATTAACCGTTAATAAATATTTATTAAATCCTATGATGTTAAAAAATCATTTATTAACAGTTAATAAAGCTTATTAAATATAAACAAATCCTTCTGCCAATGTAATTTTTTCTTAGGACCAATGAGATAGCCGCAATTCAAAAATAAAAATTTATAATGAATAAAAACATATTATTAACAACAAAAACAAATAAACATTAATTATTTTTTTTTTGTTCAGGATCGATTCAGCTGATACAGTTATACGACTATCAAGACAAAGCAAGTTTTGTTAGAAGTCATACCATGAACATTCGGATAGACAGTAAAAATGAACCAATTGACTTCGTCAAAGTTGATCGGGTTAATAATGAACAAGATTGTATCATGATCGGTACTAAATCTTCGCTAAAATATCTAACCTTCTAGTTCAATAAATTGTAAATTATTGTTCCAATAACAATAATATTAGATGTAAGAAAAAAAAATGTCAAATAAATTTAATTCATATTATTTAATATTTTTCTTTGTTTAACCTCAAAAACATTAAGGCGAATTTTCAATAGAAATGAAACAAAGTGATTTTTTCCAACTAAATTAAAAGTCTAATCAATATTTCTTCTTAACAATAATTTTAGTTGTTCTCTGACCGTTTCGATTTCTAGTACTTATTTTTCTAATTTCAATTAGTTCCATCGGCGCGAGAAAAGATTCTTTGCTAAGAACTTTGTCGTCGATTATAAACTCCCCGGTGTTGTAGAAATTTATAACCATATTCAGATGATCAATGAACTTATTAGCTTGTTTAGTAAAAACAGAAATTTCTTTAGGTCTTTTATATTTCCCGTCATTTATCTCGACTTTCAGACGATCGGTTTTGACGTCCAATTTGGAAACACATTTCTTCAGTTTTTCGATGTAGAGCTTCAAGTTTTTCTCCATCTTTTCTAAAACTTCATTGAGCGCCCATTCGCCCGTTACAGTTTCAAAGGTAGCTTCACGTAATTGGTCTGTGTTTTCTTTGTACAATTTGCGGTAGAAGTCTTGCACGGATTTTACTCTGGACTCAACTATTTTGTAATGTTCCAAAATTTCAGACCATTTGTCCACGGTATATTGTTGGTATTCAGTGTACTCTTTCATTTCTTTCGGGTCCATTTTTGTCGTATCAAATAACTTTATATTCCAGAAAATTAATTTTTTTGTATCAAATATTTTGGCTGTAGTCTACTAATATAATAAGATTTATTTTTAAAAAATTAGTATCTTTTTTTTATAATTCTGTAATCATGAATTTCAAGTTTTTAATTTAAAATTTGTATTTGGCCAAAAAAACGTATAGAAATTTATTTCTGCCAATCACTGCAAATGAATCGTTTATTTTATTAAATAAGTAATTACTAATTACTAATTGAATTCTTGTTTATATTTCTCATAAAAATATTTAGACCTCGAGCATACGCAGAAAACAAAGGGCCAAATTCTCAAAAATTTTACTTTGAGTTAAAATAAATAATTACTTTCTTATATTTAATAGTTTGAACATGAACCATACAAGATTATCGACAGGTCGCTGACCTTGCTTTCTTCTACAAAGTAGTCAATGGAATTATAGATGCTCCAGACATACTAAGCTTATTTGAATTTGCTCCAGCGAGTCTAACCTTAAGACGCAACAGATTGCTAAAAACATCAAAATCTAAAAAGAACTATGTGATACATGGTCCACTAAATAGACTGGCCACCCTAGTAAATTTCCATCAAGGTGAAATAGAGTTCTACGGAGGTTCATACACTGCTTTCATCAACAACACCAGAAGACATCTACTGACCATACCAGAACACTAATAATACAAAGAAAATTATAATTAATTTCCCTTTTTTTCTTTTTTTTGTTCAAATTTACCTTTCCTTCATCTAGCATTTGCAAAAGTCTAATCAATATTTCTTCTTAACAATAATTTTAGTTGTTCTCTGACCGTTTCGATTTCTAGTACTTATTTTTCTAATTTCAATTAGTTCCATCGGCGCGAGAAAAGATTCTTTGCTAAGAACTTTGTCGTCGATTATAAACTCCCCGGTGTTGTAGAAATTTATAACCATATTCAGATGATCAATGAACTTATTAGCTTGTTTAGTAAAAACAGAAATTTCTTTAGGTCTTTTATATTTCCCGTCATTTATCTCGACTTTCAGACGATCGGTTTTGACGTCCAATTTGGAAACACATTTCTTCAGTTTTTCGATGTAGAGCTTCAAGTTTTTCTCCATCTTTTCTAAAACTTCATTGAGCGCCCATTCGCCCGTTACAGTTTCAAAGGTAGCTTCACGTAATTGGTCTGTGTTTTCTTTGTACAATTTGCGGTAGAAGTCTTGCACGGATTTTACTCTGGACTCAACTATTTTGTAATGTTCCAAAATTTCAGACCATTTGTCCACGGTATATTGTTGGTATTCAGTGTACTCTTTCATTTCTTTCGGGTCCATTTTTGTCGTATCAAATAACTTTATATTCCAGAAAATTAATTTTTTTGTATCAAATATTTTGGCTGTAGTCTACTAATATAATAAGATTTATTTTTAAAAAATTAGTATCTTTTTTTTATAATTCTGTAATCATGAATTTCAAGTTTTTAATTTAAAATTTGTATTTGGCCAAAAAAACGTATAGAAATTTATTTCTGCCAATCACTGCAAATGAATCGTTTATTTTATTAAATAAGTAATTACTAATTACTAATTGAATTCTTGTTTATATTTCTCATAAAAATATTTAGACCTCGAGCATACGCAGAAAACAAAGGGCCAAATTCTCAAAAATTTTACTTTGAGTTAAAATAAATAATTACTTTCTTATATTTAATAGTTTGAACATGAACCATACAAGATTATCGACAGGTCGCTGACCTTGCTTTCTTCTACAAAGTAGTCAATGGAATTATAGATGCTCCAGACATACTAAGCTTATTTGAATTTGCTCCAGCGAGTCTAACCTTAAGACGCAACAGATTGCTAAAAACATCAAAATCTAAAAAGAACTATGTGATACATGGTCCACTAAATAGACTGGCCACCCTAGTAAATTTCCATCAAGGTGAAATAGAGTTCTACGGAGGTTCATACACTGCTTTCATCAACAACACCAGAAGACATCTACTGACCATACCAGAACACTAATAATACAAAGAAAATGATAATTAATTTCCCTTTTTTTTTTTTTTTTTTTTTTTTTTGTTCAAATTTACCTTTCCTTCATCTAGCATTTGCAAGTTCTCTTTTGATCTGATTCTCAAAATTGTTATTCTATCTGTCCCCTCACCATCATGTAATAATATATTATTTGATTATATATATCTAATAAATTTAACTTTATATCTTAAATGTATATTGCCGATTGGCATAAATAAATAAATAAAGACTATTGTATTATTGTCGAAAATAGTCGATGGTCATACCTCGCATTTGTCCATAGAAATCAAAAGTGCTTGCCACGTGTCTTCTAATTAATTATTTTCTTTATTAAAAAATATTTTTACAATTTTTAATTTATAAAAATGGTAATGCATATTATGTTTTACTAAATAAAATTACATAAAATTCAAAAAATTTTATAAGATTATTATCAAGGCTTAAGAATTAATTAAAATTAAACATATTTTATAAAAATTTATGAAATTTTTCTCTAACTCTTTATTTTTATTATTGAAAAAGTATTAGATTTAATTAATAAAAATACAAAATTATTACAAGCATATATAAATATTGAAAGTACAACTAAAAATTTCAAAATGTACTGAAAAAAAACCAATGATAAAAAAAAATTGAATGATATATAATGAAACTTATCTTCCGGTTACTTATTTTCCATCAATTTACTCAATTCAATGTTACTAAAATAAAAAAATATTTCATGAATAAAAGTAGCAGGAAGATATCTAGAAAAAATTTTATAGAGAACATCTTCAACTTGATTGAACAATATTCTTCGTTGACCAGCTTTTTGTAAGCGATACTTGATCATTCCCGCGAACAAAGGAAACTTGGCCGCGATTACGTCGTCAAACTTATCTTTATCTCCATTCTTGATCCTCAGCGCCAGTTTGTGATAAGATTTGTTCACTATATCAAACAAGGAAAATCCAGCCATTATTCCGTGAGTATTCTTCATAACTTCAATTTCTGTTTCACATTGAACTCTAAATTTTCTTGAATTACTTCCTGAAGCAGTAAATTTATTCCAATCGCAGACGTAAAAGCCAGTCTCCATCAGCTTAATAACATGCATCATCATAACATTAAGGTACTTTTTTTCCTTCATATATCTATCAATCGGTAATTCACCACGATTGCTCATAATATTGACATCACAACCTGCATTCAGAAGATCTTGAAGATTGTAGCGAAAACTATCAATGTTAAAACTATGAATGTGACCCCAAACCTCTGGAAAATGAAGACAAGATTTCTTGTCATTAGTCAGAGAATTTACTTCTATCAAAGGTTGACTCAGCAAAAACCTGATACTTGCTGAGCTATTGTTTTTTACAGCTTTCATCAGAGGAGTCAAACCATTGTCGTCTCCAGCATTAATATCAGCGCCATGTTTGATCAGTAATTTCAACATTTCTATGTTATCCGACGAAGCAGCGATACCCATTGGCGAGTCGCTATTCTTTCCGTTATTGCCACTTCTTACGTGAACATCAGCGCCCTGGGTGATGAGAAATTCAGCGATCTCATATTCATCTAGATTCACAGCAAATTCCAGAGGTGTAAATTCATCAAGTAGAAAAAAAGGGCTAACTTTATCATCATTAAGCCTATCACTGTTGGTCCCAAATTTGCCTTTTACACAGATAATCTGATTGATATCAGCACCAGCTGTCACTAATTTTTTCACGTAATTCAAGTGGTTCAAACTTATAGCCAATAAAATTACCGGTGCTAAATATTCTGTCTCGAGGTTCGTGTCGGCATTGTTCTCCAGGAGGAAGTCTACGAAATTATCATCGTTTAGATAAAGAGTCAAATGAAGAATAGTATATTCGTAATATTTTTGGGGTCTGGGTAGCGGTACTAATTTTGAATAAAAAATTTTAATTCGATCTCTCTCATCTATTGTTACCACCGTGTTAACGGATAACTCTTTTGACATTATTTTGTCACGAACTTGTTCGTAGCTCAAGTCATTAAAGATTTCCAAGTCTTTTATTCTTTCTCTGATATAATACATGACTTTTATTATTTTTACAACAAAAACTGATCAGATTGATTGTTAAAATTAACTAAATATTATAGGTTTTGTTTCCGTTTAGATTTTTCACAACTATCCCTGATAGCCACACACTATAAAAGTACTTTTAGTATAGAAAGTTTGGTCAAAGTTGTTGGGTGCATTCGCGTTGGACGCTCACACGCTTTGAGCGCGCTTAAATATCGTTTTCAGCGTTCGACTTGGTGCTGTGAGCGTAAAAAAATCACTCTCGTGGCTGAGTTCAAGAGACAAATTTCTCGCTCACAGACGCTCACGCCACAGAGGTAGGGCAGCAAAAGCGTGAGCGCTAAATTTCATTATTTATCAACACGAACACTTGTGAGCGTAAGCTAACCAAATTTAACTGTACTTAGTGATTTCTTAAAGCATAAAAGTAAATTAAAGATCCAATAACAATGGCAAACCTTTTACCAAAATTATTTTCTGTAAATTTGACTGACCCAGAATCAAATCGAAGTTACACAATTTCTGTTACCGCTGATGAAGCGAAGCGTCTTGAAAGAGGTACGTATTTTATTATGAATTATAAATTTGAAAAAATATCTATGTCGTTTTGTCCTTGCTTGAAAATAAATAAATAAATTCTATTTTTAGACAGCTAGAAGTATAATTTATTCTCAAGTTCTATTTCTTAACACTTGAATAACGAGTGAATTAATAAATTTTTTTAATTGCAATGCTATTAAAAAAAAGGTCTGGGTTTTTCTTTTAATTTTTTTTTTGGTGAAATGTGTTTTATTATTTCCAGACGTAGGTTTTGCAACTTTAAAACTGGAAGAGGCAAAAAATTTAGAATATGCTGAGCTTATTAGTGGTAGGTTTTATTTTCTTTTTGAGTTTTACCTGCATATAATGTTCAGAACAAGACGTAGAAACGGTTGAAGCTTTGGATCCCGGTTTGAATTTTGATGAAATTGTTGACGAATCTCCTAAAAGTACAAATGAAGATTCAGGTAATTTAAAACTGAAGCAAATAAAATAAATAATAAAAATACAAATCATGGTAAAGTTAATTATTTGTTGCAGTATTTAAATGGCCTCATGAAGCAATTCTTATGCTTCTTGATGAATACCGAAAAGAACAATCAGATCTCACCAGCGGTAAAATTTCTCAAAAGAAAGTGTGGCTGAAAATTAGTGATCAACTCAGTCAAAGTTTTCAGGAATGAAGAAAACTTACAAAAAAATAAAATACCATAATAATAAGTCAGGCAATTCTGCCAAGCATTGGCCGTACTTGACTGTAAGTTTAACTAATAAAATTTTTAAAAAACGATAAATGACATTAATTTCTTTAGTTAATGGATGACCTGATGGGGGATAAGCCTTTTATATCACCACTTGCTACTTGCTCTTCAACTGGAAAAAAAAAAAAAGGACATTATCTGAATGCAGTAATGAAAGTAGCACAAGTAGTGATGCGGATAATTTTACAACCCGTGAGTATGATTTTACTTTTTACGAAAATTAGTATACTGTTAATATAACACTATAATTTTTTTGCTTACAGAAAAAAAACCAAAGATTACACCGACTAATCAGTTAATTGCTTCATTAGAAGAGCGATCATTGAAAAGTGAGGAGAATAAAGAACGTCGATTTAAAGAATTTATGGCTTTTAAAGCTCAAAAGACAGAAGAGGCTCTTCAATACAAAAAACGAGCTTTGGATTTATTAGAAAAGCTTATAAATTCTAAAAATAGCTCTTAGTGCGATCATATTTCAGTGCTATACTTTTAAAAGTCTGATTATTGTTTTTACTTAAGATTTTTATTTATAAAGCTACTTTTTTATATAAAATATTTAAAGTATTAACCTATTTTAATATATAAACTATATACCTCCATAAATCAGGAATTACTTAAATAAATGTATTTTATAAGCGTTACAAATACAGTATTTTAATTTAAAAGAGATAAAGATTTTTAACATTAAAGATCTTATAGTTTATTGTACTGCTTATATTTGAGAAAAAATTTATATTTTTGAATATAATAAATGAACGCTTTTGAAAATTAAGAAATGTTTTTTTTTATTTAGCAAAGTCACTCAATCGGTCATATACAATTTAAATAACAATTGTACAGAAATATAAAATATTCCATTCATAATATTGATTAACAACTTTAAAAAATTTACAATTCTGTGGTGGATCAAAAATGATTAAAATATAAAAATCCATACTATATTTTTTTGGCATAATAAAATTTGTAGTTGATTTACAGGAAGAATTACAGTTATTTTTATTACACATTTCTTATAATTAATTGGTCACAAATACGATTCCGTTTTTCGGCACCTTCAGCTAATAATGCTCTATTTTGACCGTTATCGTTTATGTCATTTATATTTGCATTTTCTTCGATTATTTCCTCAATGAGAAATTCGTCTTCTTTCAATAAGCATATATTATGCAATACACAACAAGCAATGATGTATTCAGGTATTAAATCTGTTCGATTCATATCTAAAACAGTAAGTAAGCTGCGAGGTCTTTTTTTAAGTAATCCAAATGCACGTTCAATAGCTATGCGTGCTGAGGAATGACAAAAATTGTAATTTTTTTGTCGTGCTGATAAGTGTCCATTATCCCGATACGGTGTTAGTAAATGTTTATGGAGAGGATAAGCCGCATCACCAACTAGATGACAATCATTTGGAAATTTTTCTGGATCGCTGAGATAACCATGCACTTCAGATAAACGAAATACTCGTGCGTCATGTACAGAGCCAACATTACCAGCACAGCAGTGGATAAATTTACTTTGAGCATCACAAACAGCCTGTTTTGAAATAAAATGTAAAAATGTAAATATTTAAGAATTGTTACACGTGACTGTTCACTTACTTGTAATTGAATTGAATGATGTCCTTTTCTATTGACATAAGATTCCGGATGTTTACGTGGTGTAGGAATATTTATATGCGTTCCATCAATTGCACCGATAACTTTAGGGAAACCGCTCGTAGCTTCAAATTGATTAGAAATTTCTTCAAACTTCTCGTTTTCAGGCCAAGTTATTAAATGTGGAGCTATTTCAACTAGCGTAAGCTTGATAACGCTGCGGCAAAACTAACGCCAAATTTTTGGCATATAGACCTTCAAAAACAATTCATTCAGTTAAAATCGGTTTTATAACGAATAATTTTACCTGAAACTTCAGTAATATTTTTTCATTGTACCGATATGAGTCTGGAGTGGCCATTTTCCATATAGCGATCAATAATTGTTTTTCGGGCGGTATCATTGGAGATCCTGAAATTTTTCTTGTTAACGATGGTTTAATTGTATTAAGGATAAAATTAAATGTTGATCGACATAACCTAGAATTATTAAAACATTTATTTGTTTATAATTTTAAACAAAATCTGACATTTTTATAAAATTAAATTTGAAATTTTATTAATTACCTAAAGTGAGATTTAAATTCTTTATCAGTAAAAGCTGGAATAACCTCTTCAACAAAATTTTGGAGCCTTGGTATGGGTTCTTTTTTGAAAGATAAACTTAAGTGAATATCACAATATTTCATCATCACTGTCTTCAATCATATCATATTCATCACTATCAAAATCATCGTTGATTATTTCCAATAAATTATTTACTATTTGATAAAAATTTCCCACATTCGCCATTTTGATACAAACTAACGCTCACAACGTCCAAAACGAACGATATTTTTTGATTGATTCTAAGCGTTCGTAAGTCTACACGAACGCCAATAATTTGCGCTTATAAGCGTGAGCGCTCAAAGCGTGTGAGCGTCCAACGCGAATGCACCCCAAGACTTTTGTACAGTAAAACTTATATACAATTTGTGTTGAAATTGTATAGTAACTTAACGTTGGAAGATTTTTTAATGAAAAATTACTGTAAAATTTATAGAAAAATTAATATTAGGACGATAAATAAAAATTTTAATGCTTTGTAAATAATTTCATAAAAGGTTTCAGAGTATTTTTACATTTAAAAAAATTAAACATTATATAATTTCAGATATTTATTTTTATTAATAAATTATTAAAACATTTTTTTACATTTTTAAAGCTAAAAATGAAAATTAATCTAGCTGACATTTGATAATTTTAAAAATTTTTTTTAACAAGTAAATTATGGTAAAAAATAATTAGAAAAAAAAATTGACATGTAGAAATTTACAAAAATTAATAATGCAATTTTTTATAAATAATTTTTTGGAACAAATTTATTTGTTGAAAAAAATTAAAAAATAGTCAAGTGACTGCTTACTTTAATATGATAGCTAAAAACAAAAAATTTTTAAATTAAATTAACTCACTCACTTTATATTCATAACTGCAAATACAATTTTACATTTTATCTATATA